GGCCGCCCCGCCCACACATGTGCACGCACACGCCTCGCCTCCCCTCCCCTCCCCGCGAGCCCTGGCCCCTCGCGAGGCCCGCGGTACCTCCGCCAGCTGCAGCACCACCGTGTGGTCCATATTGAGCTCAGCCGGAACAGACTGAATGAGGTAGGTGCCACCCACGGGGATGATGCCAAAGCCGGTGCCGAGCGCCTTCAGCTTCTTGATAGCCCTGATAAGGTCGTCTCTGAGAGGAGGAAACGCTGCTGAAACACCTTGGGCCGAGCGGACCTGGCAACGACGCACTTCCGGCTCGGCCCTTGGCAGGAGGCCCCGAGAGAAGACCCAAGAGGGCGGGCGACCTTCAGTGACATTAGCGAAGAGGCGGGGTCAAAGGGCACCAAATGATGCCGCTGCCAGTCAAGGGAGCGACGGTGCCCGGCGATCAGCCCGCGCACTCAGCAGACCATCCTAACCCCAGACAGAGGTCAAAAATACGCCTACGGGGGCCCGTCAGGAAATGTGAACGAAGGAGCTAAAGGCAGGGGACAGCAGGGAGCGGCGTGGACTACGGCCAAGTGCAAAACGCTTCTCCATTTTAGAGGGCCACCCGGCTGATTACTGCCATGTGGCTTTTCCCTAGTTCCCCACTAACTCAAACCAGGGAAAAAGAAAACCCGCAACACGGTGGGTTCGTATACCCAGCCCACATACTGACAGCATTTCTTTTTGTTTTTTTAAACCTTTTCTCACCCTGAGGTCCCACAGAGAGGCTGGTGAACCAGATCAATCTATCTCCCCTATCTTCTGGCCCCCACCCCTCTCCCCAGCCTTTCTCCGTGCGGGCGCGCTAGCTTCCTGAACCCCAAGTAATCCAGGGTCTACACAGCCCCAAGTTTAAAGAAAAAAAAAAAAAAAAAAAAGCAACAATACATACGTAGACATGAAAAAAATAAATAAATAATGCTTAGAAGGAAATACACCGGAACGCTGGCAGTTGTAATCTCTCGGTGGAGAAGTTACAGGTGGTTTTTGGTTTTTTATATCTGTGCACTTTTGGCATTCTAAAAAAACATGCTGGAATAAAATGATTCCTAAAGAAGCCCAGACATACGAGCCGTAAAGAGAAAAGATTTCATGTGATTTCTAGAAAGGCTTTTCTACGCTCCAAGGGACTGGAGGGCACGACCTACTGGCTGACATCCTGTGCGAATTTGCCCCTTCCTTTTAACACCTGCTGATGTAGTTCCTCCAGAGTTATCAGACCTGTTGGAGGGGACAGGAAAGCAGATGAAGTCCGCTACACCAAACCAATTAAAAAAAAAGCAAAGGCAGCAGCATCTCCGAAAAGCTACAAACACTCGCTCAACGTCGAGGCTGTTATCTATTTACGGACAGTGATTTCTAACTGGGTCTAAGCTTGCTTGCTTTCTTGACTTCAACACAGCCCATTCGATGCGCTCATTAGGAGGACGCCGCCGGAGGCCCATTTTGGAGGTCACGTTTTGGGGAGCACAGAAACTCGGCATCACCCTACTTTCCTGGGAATGGCAGGGCAGACCTAGAGTTCCTCGTGATAAAGTCATAACCCAGACAGGTGTATCAGGGGAAAAGGCCTTAGCTCCTACCTCCCTACTGTTCTCTATACTAACCAGGGGCTGGACCTCCCCGGGGCAAAGGTCTCTAGAGAACAGAGACAATCATCCAGGCCATTCCATTTACCCCTGGCCATGGAGACCTGGTATAGATTCAAGGGCATGAAGCGGCTGAGACGCTTCAGAAGACCAAACGGTTTCTCAAGATCTCACTGGCCTGCAGACTGAAAGCTGGACAAGCTCATCTTTCAGGGCTCTCTCTCTCTCTCAGGGAAGCCCAAAGCCCAGTCAAGAGACTTCGCCACACTCACCTCCATTCCGGTGCTTCAGGGCCAGGCACACTTCGATGATCTGAACACCCAGCTCATAATAGAAATCTCCCACGCCCAGCATCTCAGACCAAAATCCTTTTCCAGCTAAAAGACAGAAAGGCAACAGTCTAGGTCATATGTTAGCCTACGTCCATAGTTTCTTTCAAAGCTAGATCAAAACATCTATCCTGTAGGAAGCCTGCCCTGCCTAGCCTAACACCTTGTGCTCCATTTACTACTCAGGATCCCCAAACAGTTGGAACTCTTGGAAATTCCTGCTAAAAAACAGGCTCAGACAGTTGTAAAGGGTGGGCCTTCTAAAAGGCATTTCTGTTTGGCTAAGTGGCTCCAGGATACTAGGAAACTGAGTTTTCCTTTCCCAGAGCATACAGGGAAATATAATGGGACAAGGCTAAGAAAAAAGAATATGCAGGGGTGCCTGGGTGGCTCAGTCGGTTGAGCGACTGACTTCGGCTCGGGTCACGGTCTCACGGTTTGCGGGTTCGAGCCCCGCGTCGGGCTGTCTGCTGACAGCTCAGAGCCTGGAGCCTGCTTCGGATTCTGTGTCTCCTCCTCTCTCTGCCCCTCCCCTGCTCATGCTCTGTCTCTCTCTGTCTCTCAATAATAAATAAACGTTAAAAAAAAAAAAAAAACAATATGCAGACCAGGCATTCAAAAATCCATTGAAGGCCATAGTTTATGGAGTAAAAAATGCAGGCTATAGACTAGTAATTATAGCATAATCCAATATGTTAAAAAAAAAAGTTTATAAATACAATGTATGTGTCCAGCAAGATAACCTTAGACTGTTAATATGTATCCCTGCAATTAGGGGACAGGATCAGGAGACTTCTATTTTCTGTTTTTCTCTTTTCACCTTTGTTGACCGACTGCATAATTACACGCTACTTTCATTAAAATGAAATTCTTTTTTTTTTTTTTAATGTTTTATTTATTTTTGAAAGAGAGAGAGAGCGAGTAGGGGAGGGGCAGAGAGAGGAGACACAGAATCTGAAGCAGGCTCCAGGCTCTGAGCTGTCAGCTCAGAGCCCGATGCGGGGCTCGAACCCACAAACCATGAGATCATGACCTGAACCGAAGTCGGTCGCTCAACCGACTGAGCCACTCAGGCGCCCCCGAAATTCTTTTTTAATAGGGGAAAAAACCCATTACAAAATCCCACTGTAGATCATTCAAGGGGAGGTCAGGCACACTGGCTACCAACCTACTCTCTAGCCTCTCCAGCTTTCCCATCAAAGCGGGCCCTCAGCCACCCTGCCAGGCCCGCACCAAAGACTACATCCTCTGGCTCTCCCTGCAGGCCCTTCTAGAAGATGCCCTGACGACAGTGATGACAAGGAGATGCGCTCCTGTCCCTAGGAGAATACCACACCCCTACAGCCAACTCCTTACAGGCCAGAGGATCCACGCCGATGGTGGCGCACATGTCCTGGAACTGCACCCGGAATTCTGGATTCTTCCGGATCTCCTGCTTATGCTTGCTGGCAAATTCCTCCAGGTTGGTCTTGAACATGTCCAACTGCTTTGACATCTGTAGGGTGGACAAGGAGGAGGTTAGGGGCAGCCCAGCTAGGTGATAGATGTCAAAAATAAGTTCCTGGCCCAGTGGCAGGGCAAGGGTTAAAATAACCCATTTCCTCCAGGCCTACTATTATGCTGTTTCTTATTCCCCCTTTCTTTAAAAAAAAAAATTTTTTTTTAATGTTTATTCATTTTTGAGAGAGAGAGAGGCCGAGGAGGGGAAGGGCAGAGAG